GGTGAAGGGAGACGTCGGACAGTGTAAAATATGACAAAATAATAATAATTTATAAATTATCAAGGGTTCATGAGGGAGGGTGAGTGGGGAGGGAGGGGAAAAATGAGGAGCTGATATCAAGGGCTCAAGTAGAAAGCAAATGTTTTGAGAATGATGATGGCAACAAATGTACGAATGTGCTTGACACAATGGATATATGTATGGATTGTGATAAGAGTTGTACGAGCCCCCAATAAGATGATTTTTAAAAAACCCTTCAATATTTTACAATGATATATCGTAATATAAAAAATTTTCCTTTGATTATATTATCCTACCATGCATTTCATCATATAGTATTACTTTAAAATATTCTGGTTAGACAATGGTGATCAAAATAAAATTGAATTTCTCTTCGGTACCTTCTTTGCATACCTAATCCCGAAGTGTTAATAAAGATAGGTTGTTCTGATAATACTTCAAGAGCAACACTGCTCAAAGTATATCTGTTTCTACTTGTATAGTAAATTCATAATTACTTCTGCAAAATATTCTAAGTATTTACATTAAGGATAACTTGTATTACTGTATATACTCAAGTATAAGCCTAGTTTTTCAGCATATTTTTAATGCAGTTTTTGTGGTAAAATTAGGTGCCTTGGCTGATATGTTTGTTTGACCTTTAAATTGGACTGATGGCCTCTGAATTCACGATTAGCATGAATGGTTAGTGTACATGAGATTTAAAAAAACTAACAATTATTGCTTCCCAACTACATGTCAAGAACTAGTCTAAGCACTGAAAGGAGTCCTTGGGCAGTGCCAAATGGTTAAGCGCTAGACTACTAGCTGAAAGGCTGGTGGTTTGAACCCACTCTGAGGTACCTTAATGAGCTGTTTCCACAAACAGCGCAGCTTTGAAAATCGAATGGAACAGTTCTATGTACCTTAGAAAATCCTAAGGAACACATGGGATCATGTGGGTTACTATGAATTGTAATTGACCAACAATGAACATTAATGTCCAGTCCTACTTATGTGATGTTGGCCACACTATTTTGTCATTTTTTTAACAGGTGAGGAACTGGGGCACAATAAAATATTTAACTCAGCCAAAGTCATTTAAAGACAGATCCCAAACTTCAATGTAGCGAACTACCTATATGGCTCTTCTAGCCATAAGCAGCCTTTATAACTTCCACCAAACAACCTTCATTTTCCTGATGGTCTCCGTAAGAAAGTGAGGGAAGATACTGGTTGGATTATAATCAGCTGGGAGTGATTGCTAACAGTTGATTGTGATTATAAAGTAAGCAACCTCGGACTCGGGAGTGGGACTGCACTGCCATCAAAAGAAAAGAGCCAGGAGTGGAGCATGCCTTTTGGTCCCCGATATACCTGCATATTGAGCCTCCTGAATGTGAGAGACAGTTAGTTCTGACACCACAGGAATGGCAATGAGCAGCAACAGCAGCAGCTGCACCAGGAACCAGAGCATGAGACAAGGTGGTGGGCTTCACAGACTACAAAGCAAATAAAGCTGAGTGTTTGGGGACAGGAGGCTGACTTGTGAAGTGGGGTGTCTGTGGGCACTTATGGACTTGTTTTGATGAGCCAGGTTTCAGGATGAAGTTTACATGGGAGTGGTATGCCCTTTGGGCAACCGTAAAAGAACACTCAGACACTGTCTGAACAGGGCAGGCCAGGTCAAAAGGCTAAGGAATAGAGAGAGGGCTGTTCTCACTAAACAACTGTTCCCTGAGCAATTCTCACCTGAATTCTAACTTGTTAAACCCCCAAATTTTGAGTATTGTTTAAGAGTTCCCTGTGGTCATTGCAATGAATTAAGGGACCCAGGTGAAAGAGCCATGGGCAGGACGGTTGGTGTCAGAATAGCTAGGAAGTTTGGAGGGCAGACGTATGCCTGACAATTAGCCTTGGGAGCTGGAGATCAAATGTCATTTCTGTACTTTTTCCTAAAAAATCAAAACCAAACGGGCAGCCATCTAGTGACTAGTTGATTCTAGTCGATTCCAATTCACAGTGACCCTATAGGACAGAGTAGAATTGCCCCTTGGGGTTTCAGGGACTTTAAATCTTTATGGGAGCAGACAGCCTCATTCTCCTGAGGAGGAACTGGTGGGTTCAAACTGAGGACCTTGAGGCTAGCAGCTCAATGCACAGCCCACTAAATCATCAAGGCACAGTAAGTCACCAGTGCTCCTTTTGAAGCCAGATGTTAACTTCAACAACTCTCTTGGCAAACCTGTGATCTTCACCACTTTGCTCTGCTGCTGAGGTTATGTACCCATGCTTCATTCACTCAAGCACAGCTTGATTACAGCCAGTGAATATTGTAAGACAAACAGATTTTAAGTTTCTGTAAATAGTCCCAAGGGCATAAAGTAAACAAACACATTCAAGGGTAATTGCTAAATCATGGTATGAACAGCATGAATCTGTAGTAGTTGAGTCATGCATGACCTGTTTCTTATCCCTCCCAACCAACTAGTCATGTAAGTTCAAGTTCTATCCCAGGTGCTCTACGCAGGTGTGGCCAAGAAGACAAAAGCTCCCCCTCTCCTTAGCTCCTAGTGTGGGTCAGTCCTGCACTTCTCACTCCCTTGTTGCAAAAGCTCTATCCAGGTAGGCACATGGAAAATCAAGAGCTCCCTTCCTCCACCTGGTACTTAAAGGCTGGAAGTCTTACCCTAGGTAGGTATGGCCGGTAAAGAATACCAAATTCTAACATCCCTGAGATACCTTGTTCTTAAGGTGGGTACTCACTCCCTCCTGGGAGGTTCAGGCTAAGACACCAGGGACTATCTCCTCAGCCTGCAGGTTCTCCACAGTTCAGGTGGCACTTACAGAGGAAATGGTCCCTTACTACTACTGCGGGTGCTCTAGTGATGCAGCTCAACAGCTAACCAAAAGATTCGTGTTGCAAACTTAAACCAGCTGCTCCACGGGAGAAACACACGGCAGTTTGCTCCCAGAAACATGGCCGTAATGGAAAGCCTAAGGGGCAGCTCCACTCTTTCCTTAGGGTCACAATAAGTCATTTTCCCATGAATTTTTTGAAGCCTCCTTGTATGTTCACTGTTATAGTAGCATATGGAATAGTTTTACTGTCCTAAAAAACTGTGCACCATGTATCTCTCCTGCCTCCCTGAACCCCTGATCTTTTTACTGTCTCCACCCCCCAAAATGAACCCACTGCCACCACGTCAATTCCAACTCCGTGATCCTATAGGACAGAACAGAACTGCTCTCAGGGTTTCCAAAACTCTGTGTAACTATTTTATAGGAGTAGAACTTGATCTTTCTCCCATACAGTGGCTGGTGGTTTCAAACTGCTGACCTTGTGGTTACAAGTCAAACTCAGAACCACTATGCCACCAGGGATCCTTACAGTCTCTCTAGCTTTGTCTTTTCTATAAGGTTATATAGCAGAAATCATATTGTATGTAAGCTGTAAATTAGAAATATGCATATAAGGTTCTTCAATGTCTTTTTTCCTTGAAGGCTTGTTAGTCCATTTCCTTTTACTGCCAATATTCCATGTATCAAGGTACCACAATTTGTCTATTGAAAGGCATCTTTGCTTCAAGTTTTGGAACTTGTGAAAAGAGCTTCTATAAACATGTGAAAAGTTGTGTGTGGATAAAAGTTTTTGCCTCATTTGGGCATATAAGAAACTGCCAAACTTTCTTTGCAAATGACTGAGCCAAGTTATATCCTTACCAAACTGATCCACAAGACTTTCCACCCACTGGCCTGTGATCTTCTTGCACTCGGCGTCATTGCATGTGCTTCGTGAGTCTTAAGAGGACTTTATAGATTGGTATGGGACATATGGGCTAATATCTGGCTGATGGACTTGATCTGGACTGAGCTGGGGCATTTTCTCAATATTCAATTGCTCTTGCATATAAAGCTCTTTCCTATGCACATGTGAGTGTCGATGGATTTGTTTCTCTAGTCTACCCAGACTAACTTGAGTGGTTCCACCCTTCTCCTCCTCCTCCTCAGAGCTGCTTCTGTCTGTCACCATAAGCCCACTGCCCTCAGCTTCCTATCTCATCATTCAGGATGCTGTGCTCCATCTGATCCCATTTGGATCTTAAAAGAGTATAACGCTGAAGACGGACATTCTTCACTAGTTAAAACTCTCATTTGCTTTTAGGAAGAC